AATAAGGGGAAAAGGGAGAGCTCCAAATCAAGAATCTATGCAGTTCTGGAGAGGAGGACAATAGAAGAAGAATGAGAAGAAGAAGAAAAAGAAGAATATGGCAAGAGGTCCCGTATATGGTGGTGGGGAATACTGTTATTGTGTTGTAAGTGTATATGTTTTATGTATATGATTTGTTTTTTGTTATAGTTATAAGTAAATAAAAAATATTTTTTAAAAAAGAAAATAAGATCTTTAAATCTCCTTGATAAAAAGGGGCAAATAAAAATTAAATATCTCCAAGGTGTGAGATATTATGTTTATTAAAATAATAAAGAGGGACGTAGAAAAATGCAACCCTGAAAATGTATATTGTACTTTGAAATGAGGCTTGAACAGCAGTTTACTAAAAGTCATTGTGAAATACTCAGCCAGTTCTTCAGCCAAGTCTGGAACCAAGGTCAACATACAATAACACTGCCTTGCAAGCCAATTTCTTTCATGGCTGAGAGCTGAAAATGTAAACAAATTATAATACAAAACTGTTGAGGAGGAAAAAGACTCCTAGAGTCCTAAAGTATGGGCAGAACAAATTGGTACCTGATCAAATTTGTCCACAAGCACTTTTGCCCACCTGGTAAAATGGTACCCAAGTAACTTACTGTTCCTGGAAGTGTAAGGACCCATTTAGTCAAAATAAGTTCATTAACTGACTGTATTATCACAGAATTACTACCAGTAAGGCAACTTTCACGTTCTGAACATTGAATTTAAGTTGCTCCTTTTTTATATTTCTAGACTTATTGTTTTCAGTTTTAAATATTATCTTTCAATGATGTAAGCTAACCTGGGTCCTTTTTAAGGAGAAAGGTGGGGTAAAATATTTCAAACAAACAAACAAACAAACAAATAAAAGGGTTTCATATATCAGAACCCTGCTGGTGCATTTCCCCCAATCTGTATAATACCTTACCTCATTAACATCGAACTGTTCTGATTTTTAAATTTAAAACAGAAAACTACTGCCTGAGCTTAATTTAAGCCAGTCATAAAATATACAAATACCAGAACAGTACAGTATTTATATACTGAAATCCTATTGGCAGAGCTACACAACACAACTTGGATGACATCATCAGCTGCATTTGTATCACAGCCATTGGGGGCCCCCTAAAAACTTTCATCTTCTTCCCCTCAGGTCTTGGTGCTCTATGGATCTCCTTCCTTCCAGGGAAACCTTCACTAACTACAGAACAGAATCAAGAACTATTTAAAGCTGGAAAATCAGCACTGCTTGGTCCAGCAGTGGCAATTTGGGGGCTCTAAATCAGTGGTTCTTAACCTTGGGTTACTCAGGTGTTTTTGGACTGCAACTCCCAGAAGCCTTCACCACCAGCTGTGCTGGCTGGGGTTTCTGGGAGTTGCAGTTCAAAAACACCTGAGTAACCCAAGGTTAAAAACCACTGCTAAACACTCCCTACCCCATTCCATGGCTCCTAAAGGCCTCCCGGGTCAAAAGGAATTCCTAAGGATCCTGGACAAAGGGAAGATTAGGAAGCTTTTAATTAACCCCAAATGGTGGCACCATGGCTGCTGCTGACATCATCCAAGTTCGTGGTGTAGGTCACACAACAGGATTTCGGCCTGTGTCTTGAAGCCTACGCAGAATGACTTTGTTCTTCCACTTGGTAGCAACGTCTGACCTAATGGCAAGGGAAATTAGAACAACCAGTTTGAACACCACAGCCTGGCCATGTTAGAACTGGGGTCCCAAGAAATGTATGCGCGCCACCCTCGAATATTCATACACAATACTGTACTGGAAAAGCACGTAGTTTTGAAAATTACACTGGCAGAGTACCCTAGCCACGAGATACCAAGAAAGCTGCAACTTGTCTCCTGTTACATCCCTACGAAAAATTTAACAAAGGAGTCTCATCCGTCCTGTGCGTGAGGCGGCATGTGCTCGTAACGCGTAGCCTTCGGGAAGTTACAGGCACAGAACCACCTCCGGGTCGCAGGTCCAGGAATATAAGGTAACCTCCGGGAGCGAGAGCGACACGGGTTTCAGCCTGGACGCTATCACGCCAGCGCATGCGCGGCTTCGGCAATCACCTGTTGTTGTTTTTTGACTTTATATGAGGCGCAAGAGAGACCGCTCGTTTTCTCGGTGGCTTTTAAGGATCACTAAGACCGGCCGGCGGCTCAAGCCACGGAGCCCGGGCGGCTTCTCTCTGGGGTGTGGGGCGCTCGGAAAACATCTCCGCCCCGAGCTGTCTGTCACTCAGTCACTGCCGCCGGACCGAGCCAGCAGCAGCAGCCGGACAGGAGCTCTCTCTCTCTCTCTCTCTCTGTCTCACCCGAGCGGGAGGGGCGGAGAGACACACACCCTCGGCCCCACGGCTCGCCGCAGGAAGGGTGGCGCTTCCTCCTCCCCCCCCCACAGCGCTTCTCCCCACCATCTGTCCCCAGAGACTTCCTGCTTTCCGAGAGAGGAGAGGGACGGGAAGCGGGTGTGGGTGTGTGGGGGTGGGGGTGTCGTCCCGGCGGCCTTTTGAGCTTCCTCCGAAAATTCTTCACCGCAAACCCCCCCAGGACCGGTTGACTTCGGGCAAGCCCTCCTTTATGTCTGCCTGCCTCCATTTTCTATGATAGCCTTCGGGGGAATGTGCTGTTTCTCGTCAGGAGGGTTCAAGGCGAAGCGGCTCTGTGGCGTGTTTGGTCCCTTCGTTTGGTTGGTCTGTATTCCTTGTCATCTGGCCTGGCTCTTTCCTTATCTCGCCACCTTGAAAAAAGCTTCTCGTTCCTCTTCCCACTTTCCCATCGAGCTCCCAGCGAGAGGCACTGTTCTTAACAGCTGCGCGAAGTGCCTGGGATTTAGCCGCTCTCCTGTTAGGACTAACATGCAGGGATGGGGAAACTGACTAAATTGAATTGTTGCATGTTAGAAACCCAGTGAGGTTGGAGTTAAGGACGCAATCCTGAGGCCCTTAATTTCTGTTGCTTTTTAGGAGAACCTTTCTGTTTGCTGTTCTACTTGGTACACCAGGAAAATAGTTTATTAATGCATCAGAATAGTTCATTTTGGCCTGCGATCTTTTGTCCAGTCTGAACATTAGGAAAACCGTGGTTTTAGCTGCGCCAACTTTCAGTTTCTTATTTTACTACTACTGTACTTTTTTTTTTTTGGAGGAACGATGGGTAATAGCCGCAAAGATTATGCATAATCGAGGAAAGGAATCTGGCTCTCTTCTGCCCTCTGCAGGACCAAACCTTTCCTGACATGGGTTGTTGTAGATTTTTCATGCTGTCGGCCAAGCAACTTGAAAAACCGAAGCCTTCGAGAATACATTTCCTGACATTGCTTTTGAGGGCAAACGAGAAAGTCGTTGTTATACTGCGTTTTCTGTGTTGTGGAGCTGTTAAGTGATAACTGAAAGTAAAATTTCCTTCATGGATTACGGCTTTATGGTTTATGCTCTTGAAATAGTGAAGATGATGTAAATAATCTCAGTTTAAACATTTAACATATTGGCATGAGTCCATGACATGAAAAAATGTCATATTTTAAATTAGTGTTTACCTAACTTGATTCCTTGGATGTTGGACTACACCTCCTAGTGTGGCTGGTAACATTTTATCTGTAGAAACCTTCTGTAGGTACAGTAATTGCCCTACACATGGACAGTTTCATCTGGATGGTTTTTCATGCATGTGTAACTAATCTTGTTTACATCCAAGTGCTAAAAAAGATCAGTCCACTTCCTAATACAAAAGGGACTGGATGGCACATAACAATACAGGAAAAAAGTGGGTAAAAGGGTTATTTTGATATTTTGGGATTTTTGTAAAATTTCTTTGAGAATTGTTGTGATTAAATAATATTGCTTTTGCTGATGTAATTTTGCTGACATTTCCTGTGTGTTCTATATGCTTACTTTCCCCCCCCTACAGTAACTGGCCTGTAATACTTCCTTTTCTAAGTGAGACAACATGATTCCATTTGTATCCCTGGATGTTTCACATTCACGTCTAAGTTACCTGTCGGATAGGGCTAGAGCTGCTAACTCTTCAAATGGGACCTACTGCTACAGTACTGCCCAGGGAAGCACTGTGCTTCAAGGAGTGACCTTCGGTGGAGTGCCTACTGTTCTGCTGCTTGATGTAACTTGCTTTTTGGTACGCTCATTTTATGGACATTCTAATTGTTGGGAGTTTTCCCTCCCTTCAAGAATCTTCCTCTCCCCCATGGCAGTTTACAAGCATTAATCAATTTCTATTGTGCTGTAAGAAAACTTTTGTGCAGAAAGCCTTCAGCACCAGTCCCTTTATGCCCTGCAGACATTCTGTTATGTAAGGCCCACTATGTTGTGACCAGAGCATATTGTAGGAGAATATAGACAAAGTATGTTTGTAGCCCTTTGGTAATATGACATGAAGTGATTATATGGAATATCCCTTTTAAACACTTATGAAGATGGGAATATCAGTTGTGGAGTCTGCAGAACTAAAGTTAAAGCTTCATTTGAGAATCAGTATCTGTTTGTGCCCTGTTTTTAAAAATTAATACGGATATCATCTAATGATTTTTTGCCCTTTATGGGAAAGGAAAGATCATGGCCCACATCAGAGATCTGGACAACTTCCTAATTGTGGTCTACAGAAATCCATAAGTTCATGCCAAGTATAAATTGGGTTTCAGTCTCTATTTGATGTTGTCAAGTCTGAAGCCAGTTTAATATGAAGTAGTAAAATGTTATGATGGGATAAGATAGCAAAACTTAATGAGTATTTCTTGCACACTCTTTTTTAGTTGTTAATGCTGATATTTTCCATTATAAGAAGAAGATTCTGGGATTACGGTCGCATTGCACTGGTAGCAGAAGCTAACAGGTAAAGATATCTAGAACTTGAGTTTCTTACGTTGATGCCCTGCATCACAGTGGATCTTGCAGAACATAGACAGACATAGATAACAGCATCTTCCTAGAACATACAACATTGGCGGTAAACCTTTTTCGGCCCGAGTGCCCAAACTCGTGGTGGTGGGGGAACCCAGTGGGTGGTGTGCCAAACTGGAAGTAGCAGCGGAAGTGGGAATCCCAGGCACAGAGGTGCCTCAAGACCCCACTCCAGATCTGGCACCAGTGCCAGCTGCTCTGGATAGTGGCCTGCCGCCTGTTGAAACGCCAATACTGCAGCTGCAGCCGGCACCTGAGGTTTGGCTGTGGGGGGGGGAGTAGCAATCTGGCTACTTATAGCTTACGTGCCTACAGAAAGGTCTGTGCATGCCAGCTGTGGCACTCATGCTATAGGTTCGCCATCACTGACCTACAGTGACTAAACTCAGACTATTGCACTTTGAACATGTTAAGAAAGGCTAAGGCTTATTGGTAAAGCTAAGAAAAGAAGGCAGCAGGAGAAGAAGGTTGACTGAATATGAGTTGGATTGAATCAATAAAGGGAGTTACAACCTTGGATTTGTGAGTCCTGAGCAGAGCTGTGAATGATAGGACATTTTGGAGGTCACTAATTCATAAGGCAATCATGATTAGGAAGTGTGTTGGGTTAACACACAGCAACAAGGAGCAGCAGCAGCTAGCAATGAACTCCTTTCCAGAGAGACAATGGTACAATTTAGTACAGACAGGTCTGACAGCCTGTAGACCTTTAGTAACCTCTTAGGCCTTGAAGTTATTTATTTCTTTTTAGCATTTGAGCAGAGTTTGTGATACTTGGATAACAGTCCTGTCAGCCAGCCATTTTAGCAAGTAGCTTGACCAATCACTAAACAGAGCAACAAGTCAGCACCTAGTTCTTTGTGCCTAATTCTTGGTACAGTTTCCTTATCCTTCTTTTCAAGCCCGTCTTCTCTCAGTTTTAGGAGCAGCTGTAGGATAGGAGAGTGGCTTTGTTCTGACTTTCTCCAGTTCCCAGGATTCCTTGACTTTGTTGCTATTTGACAGTATTAGTTTGTTTTTGCATTTATCTTGGATAACTAATTCTTGAAGATTCAAATCACATGTCTAGATTTTTTGCATGTTCACTTTAATATAGGTTTAGGGTAGAAGGCAATATCATTCCTGAAGACAAATCCTTAGCTATGCAAAGCAGATTGCAGAGCTTTACAGACTGAACTAAGTAGGTAAAAGAGGCACAAGGCCTACTTATTATAGGCAGCCGTTATACAGTATATGGCCAGCTATTTTGTGCAGAATGTCTAGTAACATCTCACATACTATAACATTAAAAATAAACATATTTGTGATTGGGCTCAGCTTCTGCTGAGAGCGGCCCCTGAGTTTCTGCGGGAAAGATGGTCAGAGGCGGCTCGGAAGTTTGAACATTTTCTTTTATTGTTAAACAAATTCAATTCAACACTTTCAAATGGATCCATTAAACTCAACTCTGGCAAAATTCTGTAACTCTTCGCTTTAACCTCAGGTGTTCTCAAGTCGCTCCTTATAGAGGGACAAACTGCTTTCGATCCGTCATTGGCCTCAGTGGGGTGCTCCTGACGGCACAAGCTGTCCCACAACAGGGGTGTCTCGCCCAGTCCCCCTCGCGCGGTTGGTGGGGTAAAGAGGGACTGGGATGGGTCACTCTCCTCCCCCCACGCTGATTGCGTGGGTACACCACCATTGTCCATTCTATAGGTTCCAAATCTCCTCGCGCGTGATAATCCTTAGGATCCAGCAACAAACCTGCTCCCAGTTGGAGGTTAGGAAAGTCCTTCAGCAGTCCATGCAGTTCTCCCGGTCCATAGCTCAGCTCAGTCTGGACAGCACGGTCTTTCTTATCCGGTGGCTCCACACCCGTTACAATTCTGAATTCGCGTGTGCTCCCTCCTCCTTTTATATCCTCCTCCCAGACAATTAGGTCCAACTCCTCTCCCTTCTCCTCAGCCAGACACACCTCCATTGACCCTTTCCATTCCCCACTCTCCTGGTCTATCTCCACCAATATGCCTTCTATGCAGCCTTGACTCTCTTCTGCCTTCTGCTCGGTAGAGGACGGCACACTGGCCTTCTCTCCTTCACAATATTTCACAGGGAAAATAACCCTTTTTGCCACTGATAGTAAATTCTAGGCAACCAAATGGGTACAGGTGTCTGTGCGTGTGCAGGTATATGTGTATTTTTCAGGAAAGCAGGAATCTCAATATCCAGCTGTAGGTTAGGCAGATAACTGCACACTCAAATAATATTTGAGTGGGAAAAATATATATTTGCCTCTCCATTCTTTTCAAACCACTATCATTTTCCTTGTTCCCTTTTTATTTCTTTTTCATATCCCCAATATTCCTTTTCTTCCCTTCCCTTCCCTTCTTTATTTTTCTTTGCTTCCATTCAGTTTCTTTTTCATTAATTTTTCCTTTCCTTATTCCCCTTTTTTCTTTATTTTACAAAAAAGTTCATGTTGGATAGTACAGTATTTCTGTATGAATGGTGTGATGTTTGCTTGTGCAGTAGGGAAAGCATTATAATATTCAGAAAGAACCTTGGATTCTTCTAATCGGAGAATTGTGTAACTTAGAAAATCAACTGTTTGAGGCTCTTAGAATCAAAATGTAAAAGAACCTTGTGAATTTCTATGGTTAGATTCTCAAAATGAATTTGTCATCTTAGAGAGTCAGACACTGGAACATCCCCCTAAGAGCTGTACAGAACTTTACAGACCTCTAAGGAAAAAATCAGAAGCCTGCCTTCATCACAGCTGGTATTTATCCCATTTACAGTTAACTCCAGAATGAAATCAGATAACCATTCCCAACCATATCAAAATTTGTCTGAGTATCAAGGTAAAAATTGCTTTGTTGTTGCAATGATTCCAGGCAACATCAGCTTGCCTGTTTCTACAAACCTTATTTATCCACCTGGCTTCTGCATTGCACAAAAATCTTCAAAGTTGTTATAGCTTATAGCTATGAAAAAACCGTCAGCACAAACGCTTAAAAAGGAATCCATCCATGAAGTTCTGAAATCTACTGGTCTGATTGCCGTTCAAAATTCTTACAACTTTGAGAAACTGTAAACAAAAGTACATTCAAAAACACAGCTTAAATTGTAGGCAGGAAAGGCACATTAGAAAGCAGAGAATGCAACTCTAAAATACATCATTAAAATGTAAAAAGCTTTATAACTTATTTAGCTTTTAAGCATAGTTCTGGACACACATGAAAAATATGTGCTCACCCAGCCAAGCCAGTTTGAATCTATGGAGAAAAAATCATGTTGTTCCTGTCCAAGATGCTGCTACAGGTTGTGTTGCTGCATGTTGTTGTCCTTTGATGTCTGGTGCCCAGTATCAGTGTTGTTGGTATCTGGGGTGGGTGTCATGTCATGTGTAGGTGTCTTTTCGCATTCCTGTATTTTACTTTCATTTCCCTTCAACTGTAAACAACTGCATTTAGCAGGTGTAGTAAGCTACTGATATTTATAAATGTTTAGAATTTTTTCAGTGTTTTTCCCCAGGGTTGCAAAATATGACTCTCTAAACTTACAAGGCTGGCAAGTTGCCACTATAGCAGATGATAGCTGTTATTTTGGCTAAATGGCTCCCTGCACTTGCAGGAATAGTAAGTTACTTTTATACTAATTTTACCAGGTATGCAAAATTCCATGGGCATAAATTTGCTGGACTAAGTTGGTCAGGTACCAGTTTACTGTATCTGCACTTTAGACTCTAGAAGGTTTTTTTTCTCAATCATTTGTATTTCTTATCTTTAGTTTACATGTTCAGTGTGAAAGAAATTGTCTTGCAAGGCAATATTATTGTACATTGACCTCTGTTCCAGACTTGGCTGGACAGTTGGCTATTTCACAATAACTTTTAGTCAACTTCTATTCAAACCCCATTTTAAAAGCAGAATGTATGTTTTCAAGATTGTATTTTTGAACCCCACTTAATTTAACACTCTATAAGCAAAAATTGTACATCTTGACAGATTGTTTTAGAATTTCTATCTTAACATGTTGTTTGTGCTTTCCTATTATTATATTGTATGCACATCCTAACTTGCTACATCCTTTCCATTTAAGTCATAAAAAAGCTTTTATTAGCCACATTATTTATACTGCTTCATGGAAGGCCATACCCTCCATCTGTTTCCTTTTTTAAAATGTCTACTTTCATGTTTTAAAAGCTTCTCAAACAAGACTTTGAGAAATTACCAAGTTTTAATAATATCGGACTATAATCTGAATCTTCCTTTTATCTTCTAGTGACTCCAAATATTATAGATTATCGACTTCTTCTATTCCTGATGAACTGGACCCTAATGAGGTTGGTAGTATTGGGTTTAAATTCACATTTTAGTTCATGTATGTAAAATGGTTCTAGGTTTAAAGCAATAATATATTCTCAAATATGTAGTCATACAGGATTCTTTGCTTACAATGGCTTTTGTTTTTCAGTCCTTAGTAGACTGATCAGTTGTAACTGGGTGTGAAGAAAATAATGTATTTTTTTCATTGTGGAACATGCTGTAGCATACATGCCTTTTATCTTTACAAGTACTAAACAAAATTTATAATAATGAAATGCTCCATCGCTGAAATGCCATCATTTAGATAAGGTTTTTGCAGTAATGGAATAGAACTCTTCAGTGACCTGTTGAATGACTACAGATAACCTGCATTAAGAATCACATTCTGATTAGTGCTTCATCATATTGTCTCTGCTTTAGTTCCACTGAATGTTGTATATAAGCGGTCCCCAACCTTTTTGAGACCGTGGACTGGCTGAGCCTTTGAGGAAGATGGGGCAGCACTCCGTAATTGCGTGGGCGCATATATTGGGCGCATGCACAAAGCAGTGGGGAGCGTGCGCGTGCCAGTGCCAGCATGAGCACTCCCCCACCCCTTCATGCATGCGCAAGAGCACCTGCATGCCTGCCCACATGCACGCCCAACCCTTCACACAGGCACTCAGGCACATGTGTGAAGGGGTGGGGGAACTCTCATGCTGGTCCTGGCACATGCATGTGTGTACAAAGCAGCTGTGGGGAGGGGAGTGCGTGTATACGTGAGGGAAGGTCTGTCTCTGCGGCCTGGTCCTGCTCAGGCCATGGACCAGCAACGGGCCGTGGACCAGGGGTTGACGACCTCTGTTGTATATGATGCAGCAAAGTTCAATATAGGGAATGATGGTTTTTAGCTAGCCATTGTTCTCCTTGAGAACAACTTTCACATAGAGAATGTGTGTTTACTGAATTATGAGATTAATCGTGATCATGTTGTCATAGCTTGGCTTGTAAGGGAGATTGTATAGAGTGCCCCCAACCGGGGTCTGATATGGGAACTGTGTATCATCCACTTATTTTAAAGAAAGTGATGTCTCTGGGGCACCCTTAGCTCTCCCCAACTTTCTATCTGAAGGAGACGTTTTGGTTTGGGAAACTTTGAAATTCATATGGCTCTCAATCTAACGAATTTATCTGGGAAGTTAACTTTATAATGAGGCAGGCATGATGGGTCTGTGGCTGTGATTCTGAGTGATCGAGGGTTGAATCCCATCCCTGTTGGAAAACATTGCTCCACCAGATCACAAAACCTGTTCAACTTAGGCTGTCATTGTATTAACGAGCAGGCTAGTCTGAGCCACTTTGGAATGCTTTAGAACAACTGGCCTTGATTAGAGCAATCCAATCAAGCCCTCTTATTCACACAGGAATAATTTCTTCAGCCCATGGTGGTCACAATCTACTCAAACTCTTGGTGGTGTACATGGCTCTATTTCCATTTGGCCCCATTGTGCCTTTCCCCTTCTCTCTTCCCACCTTTGGATTCTCTTTTGCACTGTCAGTCTGTTGGAAAATGGGCTGCTTCTTTTTGCTTGCAGGTGGGCAATTATGCTGTTTTTTTTTGTTTTTGGTCTTTTTTTCACGGAAGGGGGAGTTGGGGGGTCCCATGTTTCTTCTTTTCTCAGTTGTTTGTTTGCTTGCTTTTATTTGGGGCAAGTAGCATAGTGCTCCATTGTTTTATCACTGAAAAATTCACAATGACCCTTTGAAAGCCAGGATAATTGTCTTCAGCCCTATACTTCTACAGTGCTCAAGTGATGAAGCAGAAAAGTGGAAACATTTTTAATTTTTAAAATTGCTTTTTCCTCTTAAAAATAGGGCAGAGGGTACCATCCATGGTCACACTCAGACCATACCTTCTTATACATGTCACCACTGAATCTAGAAAGAACACATCCCAGCTCCACATTGGAGCAATTTGGGTGATCACACAGTCTTGAAAAATGGCTTATTTGGAGCGATCCTGATTGCACCAAATGAACAATAGTCTGCCTCAGGAGCAGAGGATTTGAAATAAGTTGCCTACACCTTTTAACATTTTCTGAGAATGTTAGAGAGAATGATATTTCTAAACTGGTCATGGCTATTTTTTTTAGATTACATCCAAAGTATACTAAATGCTTGTTGTACCATTTGGAAACATGGTGTTATGAATTTATTAGTACGTCTTGACAAATTGTTTTAGAATTTGGAAACATGGTGTTATGAATTTATTAGAAGTTTTATATCCAAACCAAAGTGCTACTTTTCAGGGAGAATAAATTGCTAATCTAAGTCTAAAATTATCGTCTTATTCTGTCCCTTTCAGGAGCAAAAGGCATTTATCCTTATAGAAGTGGAATGGCTTCTGGCTTGTGCCAGTTCTCACCATTTTGTAGTTTTCTATCTAGCATCCCATGACATCCTGGACTATCTCCTACTCCTCAGGACCAGATTTTGAACCCCTTATGCTGTTACGACAGATCCAAACCAAAGTGGTGCTTTTCAGGGTTGGATGTGTTTTGCAACTAGGACCCAGCTAGTGATTCTCTGGATCCCAACCTTTGTTTACAGAATGTTACCATTTATTTCTAGGGTTTCTGTTCTTGGATGGTATCTGCCTTTCGAATGCAGTGAGTATGCAGAAAATTTTTCATCTGCTTGTGAATAATTTGCCCAACATTTTGCTTGCTTGCTTAGTTAGTTAATTTATATACCACTCCCATTAAAGCACTGATCTGAGTGATTTACAATAAAATATAAGTTGCACCCTCCCTTTTGTCCTTCTGCTGCTAGCTGAAGACCCACCTTTTCAAGTAGACTTTTAACAATCATGAGTGAGCTGCAGAATGCCATTTTTTAGTTTAAACAGTTTTTAACATTCTACATATTTTTAATAATGCATTTTAATCAGTTTTGTGGTTAATTGTTTTTAATGTATAACCAATTATGTTTATTATTCTTTTCTTTTTAATATTATGAGCCACTTTGAGTCCCCTTATCACAGAAAGGCAGCCTATACAGTAAATAAGACAAATAAATAAATAAATAAAATTTAAAGATGGATATAAATGTTATAAAGTAACGTGACAAGAAACTGAATATGATTATTCCAGATAAAGTTTATTAGCCTATGCCCACAACTTTGAATAAAGGTTGGACAAATGCTTAGACTCTTTTATTACTTGGTGGTGTTTTTTAGTAAACAAAACCAGCTTGTAAACTGCTTTGATCTTTTACCTTATAGTGACCAGGCTGAAATAATTAATTTTGGGAAAAACGTGATTAGTATAAAATTCATTGTATAAAATTGTCAAGAAAATTATTGTAAATACTGTCTTTAAGATGTTTTCAAAAATCAGAACAGGGATTAGAGCCAACATCATACTGTCACTGCATTATTATTAAAAAAGAACTTCCTTTTTTCTATCTCTGCAAGCCTTGATGCCAGCCAAAAAACAAGTTCAGGCAATTCCAGTGTTAACTATGAAAAACAGGGAGGGGTACAACTGAGTTTCACTTTGCAGAACATCCCATGATTTGGGTACAGACACTTGAACAGGGTTTTTTCTTATTTCTCTTGAATTGGGACATAGAGTTCCCTCTTCCTGGGGAAAGAGCAGGATCATATGGAAGAATGTGGTTCCTAAGGTATCCTACGACTAACACACCTTGTGACCTTGTACTGCTTTGAATTGTGTCTGAAAACAAGTACTGTATAATAATTGGTAATTTTGCTATCTACAGATAATTGTTTGTAATAACCATCCTTTTGAATATTACAGTGAGCATGGGGCAAAGTCTACCTCTATATGTTAGAATCCTTCATCTTCCAATCTATTGATTCAGTCCTGTAAAGCAGTAAATTCTGTAAAGAATTCAGTCCTGTAAAGCTTGGTGATTGTCCTGTTTGTTTACTTGTGATGCAGTGATGAAGAGATTCATGCCAAGTGTGGGAATGATGCCATTACATATCTCGGTTTTCAGCGCCATCTCATCTGCTTGTTGATTGTTATCAGCATGCTGTCTTTGTGTGTCATACTGCCTGTAAATCTATCAGGTGACTTACTTGGTAAGAAACCCTTGTAATGTTGAGAGTGTTCTTTGTTGAGGATCAAAGCTTATCAACTCATTTGGTACTTAGGCAAGGGGTTCACTGGCAGAAGCTATAGTTCCAGGGATCAAAACACTTATTCTCTAGTTTACTTTGGCAGCTGAGAAATTATACTCTTTTCATTCTTTTCTGAAAGCATTTGGACAGCTAGTAAAACCTCTGTTAATTAATTTTGGTTAAAAAAAGCCTTTTTATCAGGATGGTCCATTTGTTATGGTAACAATCTGTTAGTGTACTATACAGTGGGGCATGGGGACATGCATGCTTCAGTACAGTACAGGTCTAGTTCTGTGACTAGAATGTGCTTTGCTTACTCAGATTGTCATAATGCATCTCATTCATTCTGCTGAAATACTTAATTCAGGGTAGTTTTCTTCATCCAGTAACCTTGCTTGGAAGAATTAAGTCCTAAGCTATGTGTCCACCATGCTGGAAATAGAAAGCATATGAACATATAGTCTTCGTATCTCAAAGCTAATGACTGTAAAATGAGGTGAACTTAAGGATTATGTAAAAAGTGAGTTTGAGCCAAAGTCCCACAGGATGGATTTGATTTAAATGATTATCTAAATTTAAAAAATCAGATTTGTTGACAATTTAAATAAAAATGGTTTTTAAAATTTAAATTGTGATTTAAATCAATTTTATTTTGATCTACTCTCCCTCCATCACTTTGAATTCACAGTTATCTGTGTATAACCCCTGATTATATAAGCAGATGTGAAAACTAAAGAGTTATTAAGTACAGAGAAAGATTATTTATATACTCTTTATTTAAAATCTACAATACCACTTTTTGTTCCATTGAATGTATACTCAAAAGTTTGTTTCTCTTTTCATGCAATGCTTAAGATGATGGAGGTTATAGGTAAGAAATCAGTAAAAGTAATAAGGCAGTTTTGTTAGCAACATATCTTAAATTCAAACATTTTTTCTAAAGGAACACACATTCTTTTTTCTTATTTGTTTGATTACTGAGATGGCAATGTCACAGGGCTGGAGTGTTTACAGAATACCACTGTATTTTAAAACTAAAGCAAGGGGACATGATAATTCAGCAGGCAGAGGCAAGAGTTCCCTTCCCCACACAGTACTTCTGGAAAATCAGTGAATGATTATGATTATCTCTCACTTTTGGGGAAGCAGAGGAAGAGCCTCCTGTCTCTCCCTACTCCACGTTCATTTGATTTGCAGTTTCCAAATGGCATGGGTTTTGCTAGTCTCTTCAGGTTTGATGGTCTGATTCCCTCCTTTAATGTGTAGAGGAAAAGTGCAGGAGGACTTAGCTGATGCAAACTTAGTTGTTTGATGCAGAGGCTGATAATAGAATATTTTAATATTCTCAGCTTTTCCAACCATATGGGGAGCGCAAAAACAGAAGTTCAGATGGATGTTACTGTCTGCAAACGATCTTCTCAATGGCATCTAGCATATGTATGCCAGTGTTGTCTGTCAGAATTCATAGCTTCATGATATGTAATACACACGCATTACCTATCAGATTGCTTGACAGGATGGGAGAATTGGACCCGACCTATCCCAGTTCCTAGTTTTCTGCATGGTTAGAAGTGGTCTTAACCTGTGATAGAGTAACTAGTCTTATCTGAGCCACCAATGGCATCTTCTGAATCAGAGTTAATATTTAAACACAAATCACAAATATCTGAAAACATAGTTCATTTGTATGGAAGCATTTTGTTCTTATGAATGAATATATTCAGAATGGCTATACCATATTCTTCTGTGTCTCAGATAAAGACCCTTACAGTTTTGGAAGAACGACTATAGCAAACCTGCAAACAGGGTAAGCAATCTTCAATATGTTATACTAAATTACTGTATATATAGTGTTTCTTACATTAATATTCCTTCTTTTTAACATTTGGGGATCTTCGATTCCCAGTCATAGAAGAAAGCAATATTGGTGAAAATCCAGTTGGAGAAAAACCACACTAATAAGGGCAATGCCAGAATGATTTCTTTCCCTCCTGCTTGTTTCTCTTCATGTGATTGGTTGCACAAATGGTTGTGTGCCTGATAGTGCAAGGGGGTGGAATGCTACTGTGATTTCCCTTATGCTTGTGAATAAACTGGGAAATTCTGGCCACTGGTAGGCACTGCTGAACAAGCATCTGTGGGTACACCACATGTCCAATTACTGTACATGTTTACCAAAATTTAGAAATACAGTAAATCATTTTAAAATTTTGATCCCAATCACAATTCTCAATGGGAGTAAGACTGTTGCTTTTACATACTCAAAATTCCTGGGTCCACTGTGATTAGACTGGAAGATCTAAAAGGTAAAATAGTAAATCCGTTTGCTTTTCCTACTCTTTTGTTTTTATGAATCTAAATTGTATAGTAATCTAGACAACTGTTATGCTTCAATCATTTTACTCTAGTGTTGTGAAACGTCTAATAATTCACTTTTAATATTCCACAGCAATGATCTTCTCTGGCTACACACAATTTTTGCTGTTATTTATCTGATTTTAACAGTTTTGTTTATGAGACAACATGCCAGAAGCATCAGATACAATGAAGAAAGCATAGTAAGTTTATTTAATTAAAATGTATTTTAAATTAAAATTTTGCATATTCAGTGTTGGGCTGAACCAAAGGCACGGTGCTTCTCTGAAAAGCAATGTTTTGCTGTTTTGGGCTGCCAGATAGAACAAAAACTATTCTAGAATTCAGATTAAGTGCTGAAAACATTGCCTGTACGTTGATTTGATTGAATGATGTTCTACTTTGTAGTATCAGGAGGGACGTGGTGGTGCTGCGGGTTAAACCGCAGAAGCCTCTGTGCTGCAAGGTCAGAAGACCAGCAATGGTAAGATCGAATCCATGCAATGGAATGAGCCCCCATCACTTGTCTCAGCTCCTGCCAACTTAACAGTTCGAAAGCATGTAAATGCAAGTAGATAAATAGGTACCACCACGGTGGGAAGTTAACGGCGTTCCATGTCTAGTTGAACTGGCCATGTGACCACGGAAACTGTCTTCGGACAAACACTGGCTCTACGGCTTGGAAATGGGGATGAGCACTGCGCTCTAGACTCAGACACGACTGGACTAATTGTCAAGGAGAACCTTTACCTTTACCTTTTAGTATCAGCAGAAGCCCTGTCAAAAGGGAAGCCCTGTCAAAAGTTTCCTGCCTTCAGACTGATTTGACTTCACTATATCTTTTTGCCTGCAAGGAGCTTGATTAGGAGAATATACACAAGCCAGTCAACTTTAAATTATGCCTTTAAAAACATAGCCATGGTATTGATCTGCTGTTGTTTTGCATGGTGATTGCTTGCTGCAGTGTTTGTTTTCAGTTTTGTGGCTACTTTATGTGTCTACAGACATAATAATAAAGTTAAGTAATCAAGATAAGTACAATGTTATCCATAGATTGTGAGTATATATGTGTATGAAGAGAAAGGAACTAAATAGAAATACATAACATCTGTTTTTCTGTCTGGCTTCAATACATCTCAAAATGTGGTATTTTTGCTTTCTAGGTAAAACGTACATTGTTCATAACAGGTCTTCCCAAAAGTGCTGAGAAAACAAGCATACAAAATCACTTAAAGTAAGTTTTCAAGAATGGTAGAACTTGATTTTTTTTTTAATTAAAGGATTCTGGTGCTTAAACCTTCTTAAGTAGATATGTTAACTAAGTGTGTTAAAAAGAGTATTATACATTTTAAAAATAGATTGTAGGTTTGCAGAGCTGAGCATACATTGCAAGCTCTGTTAAATTAGATATTGAGTTTAACCATTGAGCAAAAAAAGCTTTCCAGCAAATCCTCACAGAATAGGCAATTCTGAGTTGATTCTGGAGTTCAGTTCCATTTTATTCCTGCTAATTTAATCAGGAGCATAAAAGAGACCAACCACAATTTCTCCCTCCCACTTTCATAAAAATTTAGATGACCTTCATGATGTCATGGACTTTTGCAACTGCAGGAGCCAATAACCCAAAAAAAGTGTATTGGCATCCCTCAGCTTTTATGAGGGACACCAAGAGCCAGAGGAATGACATTTCTGAGGATGTGTCATAGATGACAGCTTTTTGAAGCAATGTTGTTCAAGGTAAAGTAGAAGGTTCAATTGCCGGTCATCTATGCTGCTCTTGCAACCAAGTAAGGTATTAAAGGAGCAAGTTGACTACAACCATGTTTATTCTAAAACTATGTCTGTACTAGAGAGGCCATTTAATTCAGTTTATAATGTTTGTAGAGCTGAAATGTCTTACTTTGTATTTTGAACTTCAGTGTTACCTCTGTCTTGCAATGGTCTTTTATACTGTATATATCTTGTTCTTTCCAGTACAGCATATCCAACCTGCCACGTTCAAGAGATCCAGTTATGTTATGATGTAGCCAACCTTATCTATCTGTTTGGAGAGAGGTACCTGTATAGTGAAACCATGTTAACTCTGTTTGAACATATGCCAGCAGCAAAATGTTTCATATGCAGGAGAAGATAATATCAGATTTATGTTACTGTCTAAAATGATTTCAGACATATAGAATAACTAATAGGATGCTAATGCATTTTGCAGCTGGAAAAATAATTATGATAAAGAAAATTGTAGTAAGGAAAAGAATGCCTGCAGTAATTTTCATAGTAGAATAACTTCATTAATGGCATCATTATATACTACATGCCCCAAACATATGAGCATCTCATCTGTTTTGACCATACCATGACTCTTGGTTCCTGATGTAAGTCACAATTTAGTGTACCTGTAGAAAAAACTATACATGGTGTAATGGATAAATTAGATGTGGATCTCTGTCATTGGATCTCTGCTTAACTACAAATCTAACAAGATGATCCACTCACTATCTCTTAGCCTATTTCATTTATTTTAATTACTGATTTTTGTCCAGAGCATGTTATTTCACCCTTTTCAGAGTTCCCAGGGTAACTTACTACACTTTTTAATTAGAGCAAAATATGTGATTTATTAAGTAAAAATTAGTACACATTTTGCACTAGGTCTTGGAAATTCCATTTTGTTCCGAATCTGACTCATGACAAATTTGATATGAATGGTTGCAATACTGGCTAGATATTATCAAGAGATGGCCAATTGCCCATCCCTGGAGGGCTGTGCCTACTCCCAAAATACCCACACCTAGCTTTCTTCTTACAAAAATAATGTTTTCATTGATAAAATCCTCTTGTGGTGAAATCGTTTAAAAAAATTTGGGAGTTTGATGAGGGTTGTCAGAACATGACAGAATTTATTTATTGATTGATTGATTGTATTTATACCCAGCCTATCTGGTCAAACAACCACTCTAGGCGGCTGCCAACATAAACCTTTTATAAAAATACAACAAATTTTTTACAATCAATAAAAAAGTTATTCAAGATGAAAGAAAGAAAGAAAGAAAAGATATAAAAGAAAAATTAAAAAAGAAGAAAAATAAATCAGGCATTAGCTGGAGGGAAGGCCTGCACAAACATCCAAGTTTTCAGTTGGTTTTTAAAAGTGCCCAGCGAAGGGACTGCAGGAATCTCCGGAGGAAGGTTATTCCAGAGGCGAGGAGCTACCGCTGAGAAGGCCCAGTTTCTTGTCCTTTCCTTCCGGGCTTCCTTTGTCGTCAGGTTCCTCTCCTCCTGACTCGATCAGGTGATACGGGTAGATTTTGGTGGGAGGGCACAAGAGGAATTTTAAGGTTTTTTTTAAAAAAAAAATAAAAATGAGGACAGTCATGCCAGTAGGTCCCTGAGTATTTTTGTTCCAGATGCATTGTCGCTACAGCCAAATGTTGTGAGAAGCACCAAGGGAGGAAATATATTGACAGCTTCCTCCTTGTTTTTCAGATATAATCTTGCTATCACTAATGAAGATAGAATGTGTGAAGCCTGGGGAAAGGATTAGGATAAAGGTCTTCTTTAAAATATAATAAAAGTAGTTATCTGTCCAAACCATTTTGAAGTTATGCATCTGTGGATTTTCCCAATTAGTTTTTTAAAATATTGTTTAATAATTAATCGGCCACAGGGTTTAGAAGGGAAGTTTATATAGATTTTTATCTGCATGACTCAGCAAACATAACATGAGAATGTCTTAAGGCTTGTCCAGTTGGAGTAGAGTTCTGATGAAAATAGCTAGTTCAGTACTGTCATTTTAGTATTTTTTCTGTTCTCCGTATGGTGTTAGGCCTGCTTCAGTATGATTGGTGTTCACTGCCTTTGCATGTTTGTTTATTCTTTCTGAGAGGCTTTTTTGTTGTTGTTGTGGGATTCATGGAGAGGCAATTTAGTGGTGTGGTGCTTCCTTTGGAGATTTCATTTACATATTAGAGACCCCAATGAAGCCTTTATGTACATGTTCTTTAGGCCTTAAAATTAGATTTTAAAATTTAAAAAAAAATGTTCCAGAAGCAAATCTGCAACAAGGGAGTGGGCATAAGGTATTATCCCCCTAGTAAAGCATTTTTCAAAGACATAGTTATTGCCATGCGGGATAAATACAAAACCTGATCAGTCCTGGTCTAATTTGGGACAATTTAGGCTTATTGTCTGTCTGGTGAAGCACATAGAACCTTAGGCTGTTTTGTGACTCCCGCTTGGAAATATATATATACATAGAAGTATATACATAGAAGTGTCTTGCCAACCTATAGAATATATATAGGCTATTTTGTGACTCCTGCTTGGAAATATATATATTTAACACACATCCAGTTTTGGCAATGAATCTATTATTGCTTCACAATAATCTCTGTATTTGTGCATAGAAAAAAGGCAGAGAAGAGTGTAGAATACTATACACAAATGAATCGGAGACTTGGTAAGCGAAGCCTCATAAACACAAAACCATGCGGCCAGTTTTGCTGCTGTGATGTCAGAGGTTGTGAAAAGGTAAGGTGTTGTGTTGCATCACTTGGCTGAACTGTTATAAAATTACAGTGTAAAACTATAAAATGTTGGTTTCAGTAACTGTTTAAAATAGAAGCAGTCTCATACATGAAAGAGGATATCTTACTACTCCCCAGAACAAAGCTGCTTGAAAAAAATAATTAGCAAATCTGAACCACTGGTTACTCTGCTCACGTCTCAACATATGTTGATTCAGTTGTCTGCTGCATCTCTCCCTCTTTTTTACAACTTCAAAAACTGACATGTAACTACTATGTTATCAAGAGTTTATTCTACTTCTTTTTAAATGAATGGTCAAGGTTTGGCAAAGTGCAGTCGTCCAGTTGTTGCTGGACCGTAGCTCCCAACAGCCCTAATCAGTGTAGGATGAAGAATGCTGGGAAAATATAGTTGGGAGTTGCAGTCTCATAACATCTGGGCAACAGCACATTGGCCACTTCTGTCTAGGTTAAGGAAATCTGTAGTAATTTGCTGTTCCCGTAAATTCAGTCTTTAAGTGATTATATTTTTTTTAGAACATCAGAGTTTTTAGAGCATCAGCATTTTCTGTTGAGGGCCAAAATTGGGGTTTTATGAGTTCAAGCCAAATTGCATAAGTAATGGTGGGTAACTGAAGATAATTAAACAAGCTGCCTTTACTGGTTGTATTGGCCAGCACGTGACCAGGCAGATAACCAGCACTACATTAGTTAGCTTCAATTAGTCACCAGTGACCTCCCGTCACTTTGTCCCAGCTCCTTGCCAACCTAGCAGTTCGAAAGCATGTAAATGTGAGTAGATAAATAGGTACCACCTCGGTGGGAAGGTAAAATGGCGCTCGCTAGTCATGCTGGCCACGTGACAACAGAAACTGTCTTTGGACAAGTGCTGGCTCTATGGCTTGAAAAACGGGATGAGCACCGCCCCCTAGAGTCGGACATGACTGGACTAAAAATGTCAAGGGGAACCTTTACCTTTACCTTTAGTCACCAGGACTTAAACAATTTTGCTTGTGCTGATGTAAAATTTCAGTAGGATTTTATCCTTTGTGGATAATTTCCTCTATGTAAAAACAACACAGTTACAAAGTTTTGTTTGTTGTAAAACAATAGTAAATTGTATCTAAGAAAGAGCCCTTTTTAATCCTTTCAAAAGAAAGAAAAATATTCTTAAGTTCCGTGAATCCAGTAACACAAAGTTATGCCACATAAAGTGGACTCTTATGGTGCAGTGGTTAAACTACAGTGCTGCAGCCAAGTCTCTGCTCAAGACCAGGATTCAGTCCTAGTAGCTGGCCTGAAGCTTACTCAACCTTCCATCTTTCTGGGGTCTCTGCTTAACAACAAAGGTCAGTAAATTGAGCACTCAGCTCCCTGGAGGGGAGCAATGTGTAGCCTACATAATTACATTGTAAACTGCCCAGAGACTGCTTTAAGGACTATTGGGTGGTATATAAGCAGCATACTTTAAGTCTGATGATCTCATCAGCTGTGGCCATATTTTGGAAATGAAAAGTTTCCTTAGGATCCCTTTGGTCCATGGGAAGCCGTTAGAGACAGTGAAATAGCAGAGGAGTCTTAAATGTCTGAAAATCGCTGCCTCTGGTCCTGCCACAGCTGTCACGATCAGCAGAGGCAACTTTCAAACATTTAAGACATCCTGCCTCCATTGTACTACCATGAAAGGGATACTAAAAGATTCAAGGAACTCTTTGGGGGCAGAGGGGAAACTTTGAATTAACAAAAACCAGCGGCATCTGATTACATCATCAAACAATGTAAATTTACATTACCGGATTGCAGCCATTAAAGTCCTTCCATTTATACTATAACCATAGATTTTTTTTTAAAAAAAAATTGTTTTGCCTTTGTTAACTTTATGAGATTCCGCGTATACCTGACAAGTTTTGTGGCATATGAAATTATAGTCTGTTTCCTCTGATTCAAGATTGCTCAAATAAATTTGTTACTTTGAAAGTGCTATAAAGGCTTAATTTCTACCTCATCCCTTTCCTTGCTCAAAAGACTTAAAACAGTAATCTCACAAAAAATTACTCTGCTAGTTTTTTTGTTAAACTATATTTTCAGAATGTGACAATAGGAAATTCTGTTTCTCTTGGAAGTCATTTGGAATTCAAATCTATTTATTTGCAACTGAAACTTTAAAAGAGGTCTTTTGGATACCTCTAGCAGCTTGATACTGTCAAAAATGTATGAAGGCACATTAAGTAGCTGTATGAGGATTTCAGCACTGATATTTAACGAGCCTGTTCTCCAACAGGAAGATGCTATAGATTACTACACAGGGGTTACAGAAAAATATATGGAAGAATATATGAAAGAGGAAAAAAATATTTATAATAAGCCACTGGGAATAGCTTTTGTAACATTCCAAGAGAAAGCCATGGCAACACAGTAAGTGTCTGTTCTTTAATTCATTATCTGAAACAACATAGAAATATTTCAGGCAGTATGAAACACAAATCCATCCTTATTTTTACCTCAGAGCACTTGTTAATCCTGCAAGTAGCCAGAAAAACAACTACTGTAGTAATTTTCTATTCATCTGAAGCTTTTCTATCAATTTCTGTTCACGTTTAACTAATTTTAACTGGCTTGAGTTCATCTAGCAATGGATCTATTATATTTAACAGAAAATCCTAATAAAATATCTTTTGTGCAGCATGATAAAGTTATTTTTGTAGTATGTCATTTGTCTCTGTGTGCTCTGAAAAGCCTGGCCAAAATACATTGAAAGATTGCTTTGAAATACATGGAGATTGCTTTGATCAGGTATAGCTGTCTTAGTTCAGTATCTTTTTTCTTATTGTTGAGCATTTCCAGGCATAAACGCTAAGCTCTTTTTTATTTTACTGCAGTATTCTTAAAGATTTCAATGCCTGTAAGTGTCAAGGATATAAATGTAAAGGAGAACCCCAGCCATCAGCCTACAGCAAAGAACTATGTGTCTCAAAGTGGAATGTTGCATATGCTACCTATCCAGAAGACATTTGCTGGTAACCTTTCTGATATTTTTTTAAGTTCATGTTTGAAAAGGGTGAAAGTGAGATGCTGGGTTTGGTGTATTTTTCCAACATTACTTCTTCTCAGTGAACTCTGTGAATCACACATGTGGGTAATTTCAGCGCCTGCGCTGGAACGTCGGAATGTTCTAGAGCTTTATTCTGAAAGGAAAAGAAGACAGATTGCCCCTTTTGCGCATGTCAAAGGCCCTCCCCCCCTCACATTACTTTTGACAGTGTAAAAAGTGGTAGGTAAGACATGAAAGTTCAGAACCACTGCTTCAGAGGATTTTCCAGCCCTCTAGGGTAAGTTATTGGGATGCATGGAGAAGAGATTATGCCCTGCCAACACTGTTTTCTTTTATGCAAACATCTAATATTTGATACAGTGGCCTGTTGCTTAGCGTCAGCCAAATCATAACTTTTGGTCCCCCCCCCCCCCGGTAAATAAAGCATCCCAGCTGCAATTCTTAGGGACCCATACACCTGCTAGCTTGGTATGTGCACTCTGGAGAATTAACAATGGGGATATAGCAAGAATATTGGGCCAAAAATGAAAGTAAATTTAAATAAAGAAGACAAAAATGTGGCACCTTAAAGACCAACTGCTATATTTTAATGTGAGCTTTTGTGGACAAGTCTGGGGAAGTGGTCTTGTTCAGGAAAGCTCACATTAAAATATAGCAGCTAGTCTTTAAGATGTCACAAAATTTGGTCTTCTCTCTCTCTCTCTCTCTCTCTTTCTCTCTTTCTTTCTTTCTTTCTGGCCTGATTTACTATCGCAGACGAACATGGCTACCTCCTCTAAAACTACAGCTGTGAACGGCACTTTGTTTAGAGAGAAGGAACAAACCGAAAGTTGTGATTTGGCTTACACTAAACAACAGGATTTCTCTCTCTCTCTCTCTCTCTCTCTCTCTCTCTCTCTCTCTCTGTGTGTGTGTGTGTGTGTGTGTGTGTGTGAGAGAGAGAGAGAGAGAGAGAGAGAGAGAATTAGGAAGCTTGAAATCTCGGAATAGTCTTAAAGTAATTATTAGAGATGGGGACGAAGCTAGGGCATAAGAAGAGGAGTGAAGAGGGACCCAAAAAGTCTCCCACCCGTGCTGTCTTTCCAAACACAGCAAGGGTGTGGGAATCACTTGGGTTCCCCTCTCTCCTTTTCCTATGAACTGGCAGGGATAAGAAGAGAAGGAAAGTCTGTCAGAAGCAATCTGCCATCTCTGCTGTCTTTGCAAAGGCAGGAGGGGTGGGGGATCGGTTGGGTCCCCCTTCACTCCTCTTCCTAAGCTCCGGCAGGGATTGGAAGATGAGTGTAGCCTGACCTAAGTGGTCCCCCATCCCCGCTGTCTTTGCAAATACAGTTGGGGTGGAAGATCACTTGGGTCTCCCTTTCCTTCTCCTCCTATGCCCGGGCAGGGATAGGAAGAGGAAGGAAGCCTATCAGAAGTGATCCCCCATCCCTCTTGCCTCTGCAAAGACAGTGGGGGTGGGGGATTGCTTGGGTCCCCCTTCCATTTGCCTCCTACGACCCCATGGGGGCATAGGAAGGGAAAGGATCAAAGCGATCCTGCTTTTTATATGGTTGGGGGATCACTTTGATAGGCTTCCTTCCTCTTGCATGGGCATAGGAAGAGGAGGGAAAGGATCAAAGTTGGATCAAAGCGATCCATCCTCTTTCTATATGATGGGGGAAGCAGGATTAAAGCAGTCCCAGAGTTAGTTTCCAGAAAACTAACTTTATTTAAAAGCATGTCCTACTCTCAGCTCCTTCAAAATGTGATGGGGACACTCCTGTTTCTTGATAAAAATTTACTCTTCTTAATAAGCCTACTGTTCAGAACAGAATTTCTCCAAAAATTTTGTCTTGTGATTTCTTCACAACCAAGATTCTAAATACTTATTTGCTGCTTTGGTGGTGGAAAGAGGGATTCTGGCAGAAAAGTGTCAAGCCAGGGAAAGGTCTAAGCATTTTCCCCCAAACCACTGATTTCTTATTTCTCTTCTCTGAACATGCCTCTGCTGCTGTCCTTGACTGCTGTATCTACTTGTTCCAAACATAGCAGATGATCTACTAATATTATGAGATTGCAAAATAGGAGTACTTTTTTGTTGTGTTTTCTTGTCTGGCAGGAATAATCTTTCAGTTCAAGGGCTGAAATGGTGGTTTAGGTGGCTTTGCATCAATTTGCTACTTTTTGTTGTGCTCTTTTTCCTGACAACTCCTTCGATCATTATCTCAACAATGGACAAGTTTAATGTAACAAAGCCTATTCATTATCTTAATGTGAGTATCTGAATTTTATAATCTATTGTTCTGTATGCCTCTGTACAAATATGTAGCTGCATCCTTAGGATTATGTATTTTTAATTAATTAATTTTCATTCTAGTTTTATATATTTTTTAAAAATTTAATTTTATATTTTTAAAATTTTATATTTTCTAATGTAGATGGTCTGAAAGTAGCATAGGTATGTGACAAATTATTTTCCTAAAATCTGTGACTTAGTGTTTATTTACTGGGTAAACTTTGACTTCTTGTCAAATCTGAGCTGCTATAGATTCTTCCCACAAAACAAATTGTATTTTAGTGGGTTATGCCTTTTAGAACACTAACCTAAACATGCATTCACTTCAGTTGCCTTCATTGTTGCTATATAGAACTTGGTTACATTTCTCCCGTTTTTCCCTCCCCACCAGAACCCTGTTGTTAGCCAGTTCTTCCCAACAGTCCTTCTGTGGTCCTTTTCAGCTTTGCTGCCAACTATCGTCTATTACTCCACACTGTTTGAATCACATTGGACAAAGTAAGAATATATGTCTCCTCATCTTTCACATTACATTTTTCAAAATTATTTTGGTGAAGAGAGGATAGGAGGGAGAGAGATTTTTTTTTTATGGAAAATAGAATTATAAATCATAGCAGTTCCTATTCCTCAATTTATTCTCTAGACAGTAGTTTTAACTTTAAATATACCCAAAAGGCAGTAGCTATATTATTTAGGACATTGCATGTTAATTGAATAAATCATCACCCTATATTGTAAGGATATTTCTGTGTTCTTAAGCAGTCTAATATGTAGTTTTTCTTTGGTTGGTTAAGATACTAAATAAGTCTGTGGTTTGACTGATAGAAGCATGCACAGAAGAACAGCATGTTTTTAAGGTGAACTTGATGTTAACGTAATTAAGTGATTAAGTGATTGATTAAATATTAACTATAGATTGCTTATGGCATTGTGGCCTTAATCCCAATAGATAGTGAGTTATGTGCCATCAAGTTGGAACTGACTTATAGTGACCCTAATAGGATGTTCAAGGTAAGTGAGACATCGAAGCAGCAGTTTTACCGGGTCAACTCCCCAGTGAGTTTCAAACCCTGGTCTCCAGAGTCTTAGTCTGTTACTCTATCCACTATACCATATTGAATATCTTTAATCCAGTAGGTAATTCCAACTATAGTAAACCCATTGAAACAGTAGTAATTACATAAGTATTGATTTTTCATCCAACAACAGGTTCAAGAGCTTGCTCTAGCAATCAGATTTAAGTTTATGTATCTCAGTATCTAGGTGCCATGTTTAATGCAAATTGAGTAAGTAATTGGAATGAATCTCAACTTCTTTATGGTACTTGAGAGAGCAACAAGTGTAGCAAAAACAAAAGCAGTTTTATTTTTATTTTCCATGGAGAACTGATGTGGTAGAAAGAACACAAAAGGACCTTGTGTGACTATAATTTTCTCCTTTTTATAGGTCTGGTGAAAACAGAATAATGATGCATAAAGTTTATGCATTTATGATCTGCATGGTGCTAATTCTGCCTTCACTGGGTTTGACCAGGTAAAGATCTTATTAAAATCCCAACTTTCTCACTGTAGTTGAGGAGTAAAAATATATACATATGTACCATTGTTAAAACTTCATATAGTTCAGTGCCATATAAGTCACTCAATGTGTTCCTGGTGTAATAAGAAATTAATTAGTAAATTACTTGTGTTTGCTTCATAGGTTGCTGCTTTTATTTTACATATAGCAGTACAAATGCTGAAGAAATGTGATGATTTTATGTAGGAAGAGTAGAATGAGCTACCACTCTTTCCATGACTGTATGCCTAAGCTGCAGAACTTTCCCCCTTCCCATTTATGGCTTGCTTAAACTCTGTTTAGCTTTCGTATAGCTTTCTTAAGATTGCAGTGGCAACTAAAAGGTCTTGCCAGTGAGGTGTTTCTTCCTCTAATTACCTGTATTCTCTGCTTCATTTATCTGAATAACTTTTAAGATTCATGTCCTATCAAGTGTAGTTAGTGTTAAAACACCTCCTTTTTCTGGCTGTTTTCTTTCCTGCTGCTGCTGCAGCACGTGCTGACATTGGTCACTCCTTGTCTCTGCTCCCTTGCCATGGTTCTAAACCATTCCTTCCTAGCTTCATTTGGAAGAAAAGAGTCTCTGCACTGCCACCTTCTCTGACATCTCTTTCAGTTCCACTGCCTCTAATGCATTGGATGTTTACTTAAAAAAAACCCTTTCTATGTAAGTTAGGGATATGCCATAACTGTAGGTTTAAGGCACTTGGTTGTTTCTAGAATGAAAAAGAAAAGAGAAAAAAAAGGGACTGTTGTATTTGGAAGTGAAATACAACAAAGTGGAGCTAAAAGGTCCCAATAGTTTGGGAAGGAAAAAAGATCCAGGAAATTTACTAGTCAGTTCCATCTGGGGGAACCTGGGGATTTCACAGATCAGTCAAGTCCTTTTGAAAATAGGTGTCTATCTGGATAAGACCTAACTCACAGTGAATTAACTGGGATGTAAGGCCATAATTCGTGGGGATGTAAATAAAGTCAGGACGGGTGGTACCGAAGATCTGGCCTGTATTGTTTATAGGCCATTGGGATGGGGGCAGCTCCGCCATGCCACCCCTCCTCCTCACATGATGCAGTTATCTTTATAAGTCATTGGGGTTCATCAAGGGACAACTGTGGGATGCAAAATTGTATTGGGTCAAAAGTGTTCTAACACTGCCTACTCCAGCAATATTGCTCCATTCAAAATGTGAGCCACTGCTAATTGCTTTTTAAGTAAAATGTGTTTGTTTTTAATTGTAAAAGCCTTGGAGATTTCTTCCTCAGATTTTCTGAGCCATGTCTCTTTTGATGATGCACTTTAGAATTGGCATTTTGTGTATCATGTTTTCTGCTTTAGTGGATTGCACAGATTAATAGCAAATATTTCTTCCAGTCTTGATTTCTTCTTTCGTTGGGTGTTTGATGAAGAATCTGAATCTAGAGTTAGATTAGAGTAAGTATTTTAAAGATTCTTTTTGTCCAGTTTGTCCCCATCCCAGTGGCATTTTGCTTCGCTAGTAGAAATAAATCTCCAGAACAAAACTTCCAGTATGGTTACTTTAATAAGTTTAAAAAATTAAATTGGAAAATGAACCTAGCTTTTTTGTCATTAAATCAGTTCTGAATTGTGGCAAACCTTCCAGGGTTTTTTGAGGTGTAAAGTTTTCAGAAAATGGTTAAAGAAGTCCCTCCTCCTTCAGGTGGTGTTCTGGGGCTGTGTACCTTGCAGCCAGGCCTGCAGAAGTGGCAAGGCACATAACCCCAACATAGACCAACTATAAAACCTGGTCTAGATGATGCAATTTTTGCTTCCAAAGTTATTCTTAAAAATCACTGAAAAATGTACGGGTCTCTATATTTAGGTGGCAGACAAAACCAGTTCATAACTTTGGGTCACTCTAATCTCACAATGTGTGTTACAGCTGCAAAACGACCTGACTAGCAAATCTAAGGATTCTGACATGTTGCTTTCTGAGACACACGGTTTTAAAGGGGAAGGACAGAGGAAGGCTGCTCTTAACAGTGGGGAAGATAATGTGGAATATTGGTGAGAAAATGAGTGGAAGGTCTTTAGATTGTTGCCTGCCTGCCTTGTTGATTTGTTTTTGTTTTAAACTTCCTTCAGATGTGTCTTTCTCCCTGATCAGGGAGCTTTCTTTGTGAATTATGTGATTGCATCCTCCTTTATTGGCAATGGGATGGAATTACTCCGTTTGCCAGGTCTTATGTTGTACACTATTCGCATGATTCTGGCGAAATCTGCTGCTGAGAGGAAAAACATTAAGCAGGTATAAAAACTTTTTGTTTCATTTATACATTTTATACTACAGGCAACAGTGTGCAACGATATTTTAAGTCTATGCTCTTTTTGATTGGTAGGTTTTTAATGGAACATGGGTAGTTTATTATAAGCCTCATACAAAATGTTGGTTCCTCAAAGTCATGTTTTGCTACAGATTCCACATAGAATGTATGCATTTTATGGTATTGCTGCCTACACAGTTCTAAGTAAAGTTCCTAGATTCAAGAAACTTGCTAGCTACAATTGTATGTCCACTCAGAAACAAAAGAGTGGAACAAAATAATGTCCCAACAAATGCTTTGATCTTTGCCATTAGGATGCTTTCTTGTACCATCCAAAGAAAACAGTGAAAAGTAATGTTTTTGAGATATGCTCCAATGATGTTTCTCAGTAAATCATGATGGAATGAAGTGTAGACTCTGGTTTTTAGTAGACTGGCTGGGAGAAATTGATACTGTTTTTCAGGGAGAGGGATACTGGAGTTCATTGGGGTCAGGAAATTCCCTACAATTTAAGAAGTGTATATATTATCTATTTCTATTTTACTTTTGTTCCTCTTTGTGTATTCTCTCTCTGTTTGTTTGGATAGAACATACCGTATTTTTTGCACCATAAGACGCACTTTTCCCCCCTCCAAAAGGGGGGTAGAAAGTCTGGGCGTCTTATGGTGCAAAGGTGGTGACTTTGCCCCCACTGGCCCTGTGGGGGGGAGCGTCGCAAGGGTCCGAGGGAGCCTTCCAGGACC